CTCCTTTAGACCTTTTCTTCCTATACACAATATCAATTATACATTTTAAAAATTATAATATCAACATCTAGGAGACAATACCACAGATTTTACAGAATTTAAAAGGATATTACAAAAATCTTTCTTGAAATAAATTTGACAACTTCTAAGAAGTACCTTGGAAGACAAATTAATGAAACTGTCTCTGGAGGAAATACAAAATTTGAATAGCACCTTTTAAAGAAAGTATATTCCTAGCTTGAAAGCCTACCTTATGCAAACAACAGGCTCATATACATTTTACTGAAAAATTATATCAAATATTTAAACCAGAAAAAAGGAACACTTCTCCCCACATTTTTGCAAATCAACATTGTGCTAATCCTAAAACTGGATAAAGATAATAGAAGAAAAATGTATGAACATAGATAGAATTTTTTTTAAGAAAACAAACTATTTGAAGTCAGATCTGGTAGTATGTAGAAAGTGGTTTTATTATAGGGATGGCAGTGTTGGTTCAGCATTGGAATATCTACCCCCAATAGTCATTGTTTTAGCAGAGGAAAGGAAAAAGCCATATGATCCTATCAGTAGTTGGAGAAAAAGTATCGGACTAAATTCTACACCTGTTCATAGTAAAAGCTGTCAAGAAACTAGAAGTAGAAAATAACGTTCTCAACAGATCAAAGACATGTATTCCATACTTCCAGCAAAAATGCCTTATATGAATTGAGAAGATACAATGCTTTCTCCCTAAGGTGGGGAACAAGGGCAGATCTGCCTACTCTTCATCTGTCCATTAAATTTTGAAACATAGGCCTAAACCAAAACAGTCTGGCAATAAAATGACACAATTAGGATAGGATTGGCAAGGTAGAAGCAAAATTTTTATATGTAGATGAAATGATCATGTACAGAGAAAATACTAAGAAATCTCTAGGAGCTCCTAGAACTTGTATTTGAATTTAGCAGGATTAGAAAACCCAAGGTATATGTAAAACTTCAGTTCTATATGTACTTGCTATAAATGAAGAATTCAATATTGAAATTTAAAAGTTATGTAGAAAAGAAATTAAAGTTATGTAGGAGTATAAAGTCCTAGAAAAGTAAAAAGAAAAAGAAACGAAAAGTGTTGTAAGACATTTAGTACCTAATTTTAAGACTTCCTCTAAAGCTACAGTAATCAAGGCAGTGTTGGTGTAATGAAACACATATAGCTCATTGGAATAAAATAGAGAAGCTACAAATAGAACCACACATATATGGTCCAATGAGTTTTGAAAGATTATTAAACATTAACTTTTTATAGAATATAAACTCAATTCAAGAGCCGAGGAAAAAACAGTGTTTTCAGCAAATGACATTAGAACATCTGGTATCCATACATACAAAATTAACTTTAACCCTTTATTTCCATACATAAAAATAATTCAAAAGGATCTATGAACCTAAATATGAAAGACTGAAACTAGAAAACTTTAGGGAGAGATTATAAGGAATAATGTTTATGAATTTAGGGTAGGCACCAACTTCCTAGAATACAAAAAACATGATATATAAAAGAAAGAAATTGATAAATGAGATTCCATCAAAATTTAGAACTTTAGACATCATTAAAATGAAAAGTAGTCCCTAAACACACCATTTTTGCAATGCATATAACTTATGACCAGAATATTTAAAGGACTCTTACAACTCATTCATAGACAACCCAATTAAAAAGTAGATACAAGAAGATGATAAATAGCCAGTACACCACAAGGAAAGGTGTGTATGTTAGAATCAGAAAAATACTAATCAGTACAATAACAAGATTTAATTATACACTCATTAGGGAGATGAAGTTAAAAGTTTTAAAAGCCTTGTCATGACTTTTTCTTTTTGTTGGATTCTCCCCTTTGCCTTTAATTTGTCACACTCAACAGATTCATTCTTCTGGGCTTAGTGGTGTTGGGATCCTCACTGTCTTTTCCTAGGATGTTGTCTAAAATTTTTGGAGTACTACTTTGGTATTCATAAAGTTCCTACGGTGCTCTTTATCCTGAAAGTATCTTATTTCTCCATCAATTTTGAAAGATAGTTTTGCAGGGTACATCAATCTGGGTTGGAGGCTGTTTTC